GTATAATCAAGCGAGCCAAGTTCAAGTCCTAAAGTCATCACTCTTAAGTTGACACCAGGCCCTGTTTGCTTATTGTAGCTGGACAAGGTGCTACTTGACTCGTGCACAGACAAACAGACTTCTGACTTGCCTTTTGTTGAACCGAATGATTTGTGACTTGACTTAACCTGTGACAAAATAATTTCTAACTTAACCAAAGGAAAGGACTTGTGACTTAACTGGGACTGTGAATTAATGACTGACTGCCATGTTATGAAGAGACAGGTGTGATGACCCAACGTTTTTCTTATGTTGTCATTATCAATCACCTTGCCTTTAGCTCTGATTAATCTTGAAAATGAATGATTTGAATGTATGGAAACGTTCGGTTGCTGCCTGCACCACAAAGTCACCCGGCGATATCGCACCTAATAATTGGCGAAAGCTATTCTTGAGACATACATGTACATTCAAAGCGTATTCAAGTCATGGGTTTTGCTGCTACGTTGGTTTTATTGAGTGTCGACAAACTTTCTTTGTTTTTTCGAATGCTGTCTAGGCTATGACGGTACCTCGCCTGTAAGAGCTCAGATGGATCGCCTCGCTTTACAATCCCCCTCTTGGCGTGAGGTCATCAGGGGTCGTGTGTGACAGGGCTCATTCTTCATTGACATTCGCCCGAGTTTGGAAAAAAAAACTTGCCAAACGGGAACGCCATCCTTCTGGGGTCGGGGGGTCAGACGAGCTTCAACGGTCGAACTTAACAGCAAGTCCAAAGTGAGGCATTTTTCACCTGTCTGTTTTCTAGAAAATCGTTGACGTTAATGCTCTCTCACAGTTAAATACGCAAGTACTCAAGTAGTCAGTGACAGTTCGGTACGGTTTCATTCAAATGAATGGAATCGTAGTGGGTACGGCGTAAAAATTTATTGAAGGAACATATTCACAATAAGCTATGTTCTCCCGATTAGAAATATGTGTGAATTCCGTGGAATTTTGGCATTTGCCGAGTTTGTTAAACATCCAGAAATAAGATTTTCCTCTAAAGGGAACTTGCCATTGGATAGTCAGTTACCGTACTCTGTGTCATCGTCACCATCTGCAGTAAATGAAAGTGCTCCACTGCAACCATTTCACCAAATTTTTCAGATGGTCCGACACCTTTTAACCTATTGTTTACAGTTTAACTGAACGCACCTGCAGATCCTTCTAATTTGTGTGAAATAGCTTCTTTTCTTTGGTTGAGAATCTGGATCCCTACAAATGCCCCTTAAGCACGGGGATGCATTCTTGGCCCTCGATGAGGAATCACCGAACACAAATCTAAAGGCTTATGTTGAATTTTCACCCATTATTCACAGCACTTTAACCTTAAATACATCGCCCCAATCCGATTATGTTGGACCCAGTTTTCACTTACATGCACATGTGTAGAGTACGTTCACACGTACATACATGTTACCCCACTAACCGACTCTTGTACAGGTAATCCAATCATAACGCGTAAGTGGGACCCATGTGAGCCTAACGGCCAGTCAGGTTGCGTGTATTGGAGTCACGTGCAGTGGAAGCGACCATTATTGACTGGGCGGGATATTGACTGCTGAGTGGTATTATTTCGCGTTTGTGTGCTGATCGTGTTGGATCATAGAGCTCTATGGTTGGATCGATCATCTGGGCGGATCAGTGACAACGAACCATGCTTGGAATTGACAGGACCAGATGCGAAGTTTTCGCTAGTGCTTTGCGAAAGACTTGCTCATAGGCGCGCACACAAACAGTGCTGTATTTTGCTCTGGAATTTCAACCGTGAGGAACGTATGAATGGGAAAAGTCAGAACTTTGCTGGTAAGGAAATTGGTGAGTCGTCTGTTTTGGCAGATAGCACGACAATTTTTTCGTTCATCGACAACTCTGTCCACTGATTTGATGGATAACATTCATGCCTTATGTTGTCTGAGCAATTTTCGGAATGGCACTGGCAATGATAATGATCATGATTCGCTGGAATTTACTAGTTGGTAAAGGTTAATGGCTAAATTTATAGAGCAAAAGTCAATATTGCGGGGATATCTCAGGTGAGTCGGCCGCAGCCATTGGCCTTATTGCGTCTGGAATAGGCCAGTAGAAGTATAATGAGGGCTTATAACAGAATTTTTGCCATGTCGAACCGAGATGAGGGGGTCACAGCAACTACATGTATATATAGTAAAAGATCTCTCCATTTCCATATAGACTTCGTTAACTATTACAGGTGTGTGTAGTCAACCCATAGTGTACACACCTACAAGACAATCCGGATTGTGTTTACAAATATGACTTGATCAGTAGAAGTAAATGACATTGGTGGGTCACCTAGTGACATCATGCATCAAATTTTAATTGAGTCATAAATGATGGATGCGGTGTGTACAAGAAATCGATACATACAAAGGAAAAGATATCGATCCGGATTTCAGAAATTCCGGTAATGTGCCTTTTTATGTATAAACTAGGGCATGACTGGCGTTAACGAGACAGTACCGTGCGAAGCTAAATGGAACCAAATGAAATCGCATGCAATTTCTCTTTAAAAAACTCTTGTTCGTAATCATAATTATTCGATAAGTGTTTATCAACTTCAATGCATTGCAGTATAGAAATCAGTGGAGTTGCACTAACAAAACGAAGACAATTTGCTTAAAGTTCAACTGCTGATGGCAACTTCGAGACTTCTATTCCTGAATGATGGTATCACCTGTTGGCATATTGACAGGTGTCTTTGTAGAGTGGAAGAAAAAAGAAAGTGATTTCAGATTCTCAAACACATGGCAGATTTTCAATCTTCTCTACAGAGTGTCACCCTGTAGAAAGTATTGAAGTTTTAGGAAGAGCGAAGGTTCCTGTTGCAGAAGTTTTCACAAAATATTTCGCGTTTTTTCTCACTTGTCACGAAACACCACTTGCTTCGTCTCGTGCCACTAATATCTTTCTTGGCACAACCATAGAGCTACACCCCCACAACACAGCAAAACTCGTTAAATTTAGCAGCAGGGGATTGCTGGAGAGTGCGCTGAGATAGGTAACACCTGGGCAGACATGACTAATTGTATTTGAAATGAACGGTCGAGGCCACAATGGGGATCTTTATACATCCCAAAGTACATGTATATGAATGGAGCAGAGGTGGGTCGTGGATAAAACTTCTCTCAGATTTCTAAAACCGGATATTTACGCATGAAACCTACTTTTCCAGTTTGAAAAAGGCATGAGAGACGATTTGTCACGAATGTCGTCCGCGAATTGAGCGTAGTGTTCAGTTGGAAAAAAGAGAAAGTGTAAACAGCTTTCCCTCCTGTTTCTCGAACTATGATCCTTGCAGTGAGATTGTTTTATCATTTGTAACAACCCGAAATGGAGGAAAACGTTTAAAGCCAATGTAAAGCGATCTGGTGTGTGCATTTCTGTATGATCACTGCACAGTGGTCTTTGTCAGACAAATGCTAATTTTTTGTCCGCACATGCAAAACCCAAACAGCAATCAATGGACATTTTCTTTGTCTGAGGAAGGAAATGTTTTCCAACTGGGCTGGGATCAGTGCAACACAAATTGCAGATAAAATCATGGTCAAATGCCTTTTATCCATGATAATACGATTTGGAAGGAACCCATAAACCATGACGATATATCTGAATGTTAAAATCTGATCCAATTATATACGTTCAAGAACTCAGCTACCCACAACAAGATAGTCCATGCTCCGTTGCTGAGTGTGAGGCGGCAGGATAAAACAGAATGATACAGCCAACTGTGTCAATTTAATCTGTAAATAAACCTGAGTGCTTGCATATAATATCGGCCGTTTGCTGACACCCACGCAACTCCCAACCATAAATTTCTTCAACAATGTTTGCGTGTTTGCCCAAACTTTCAGTCGAGAGTGTGCAGTTATATGGCTTTACGACACTTCGCGCCAAGCCACTACACGATTTCCGAATGATAACCTCCATTTCAACTCGAAAACTCAAAGTGCTTGCACACCTTCGCCAATCAAGGATTTTGTCCCAGATCGGGACTTTTATTAACAAGTAGTCCTGAGATAAGAGTAGAGGAGTTCGCTCCAAAGATGTCGTGACCACCCAGCTATTGATAGTTCCTTGCCGTGACTCTGATTTTTTTTTTATTTTTTATTCTTTTGCGGTGGGATAAACCATTCAGAGATCCCTTTTTGTAACGGGCAAACTGCCGTGTGCTCAAATCAATATCGATTCTTTGAACCCTGTAACAACTGGCAACCTGTGTGGACAAACGTTTGGACTTACCCGGTCAGTATAGGTTGCAACACGGTGGGTTTTTTTAGTGGTCAGTGATTGGTTCATGAGACCTGGAAGTCGTTTGCATTTTCCAAGGAGTTGATTTCGATCCAATGATAGTATTAGTAACCGTTAGAGAGGTGGACCCCGTTAGAAATGATCCACATTATACACCAGTGTGTGTAAGGGACTGGTTCAAACTCATGCAAGTCCAAAACTCGAGCAATTTCGCACAAGGTTTGGGAAGATGACAAAATAGCTTCATTTTACATGTTCTTGGGCTTTCCCCATATGGCACAGTCTTCACAAACGCAACGATGCATGTTCCAAAGGGAACATAACACTCCATTTTTTTCTTGGTTCAGTTATAGCTTTAAACCTTGCAGAGCTAGCTGTTTGTGTGAGAGCCTCTGCCAACTCAGAAAGGGGGTGAGGAAAAAAGCAGGCTTTGAGCGATGCCTATGTCGCCTCACTCCCTTGGGCTAGCCCATTGATGCACGATGTTTGGAGTGGTTTAATCTGTTATACGGCAGTGCGACACTAGCCCATAGGCTGGTCTCGTCATTAGTTCTGTCAATAGTCACAGGTATTGCAAAGCACGGCAGGGAGGCAGGGTTCATAATCGACTACCAGTGGTCCTTAACAGAACATGTTGCAAGATGAGTATGCTGCAATAAGTTAAAAGAAACACCCAGTCTCATGTTTCTTTTTTCTTTCATCTTTGCTAGAACTCCTACCGAGCATGCACATAGACGACCACAGCGCCCTAAATGTCAAAAATGGCTGAAATCACTGTTTGGGTTAACGGCCGAGAGAAGCGCATCACGGGGGTGGGCCGCTCGACAACCTGCCGGGACGTGGTCACTCTGCTCCTCCGAAACCATCTAAAGACCGAGGAAGTCCTGCCAAGTTACAGCCACTGCTTCTCTCTCTTTGAACGGTGGCGAGGTTGCGAGAGGGTTCTGAGCCCGAGAACCAGGTTGTACAAGCTGTGGAAGGCTTGGGGCGACGAGCAGAAGAACGTCCGCTTTACCCTGAAGAGATCCACTTCAGGGGAGCCACATCCGGAAGAGATCGGGGACGAACTGATCGGACAGGGCATAAGGAAATCCGCTACAGGTCACCCATCGGGGAAAATGCCGATCCACGTTGACAACGACAAAAAGGTCAGGAAAAGCACAGTGAGACCTCTCCGAGTTAAGGACAAGACAAATTCGCATCGAAAAGGTTCCGAGTCCTGTAGTACTCGACACAAGGACAAAAGTCGAAATTCAGAATCAAGTGAGCGTAATCAGAGTGTGCCGGTGCAGGATTTGGAGTCACTCGTCCAAACTGTTGTGAAACAGAGTAAGCGGTTACAGGAACTATTTGAAATGATTCAGGAAATTGACATGGAAATCGAATTCTACGAGACCAAGGCCCACTTGCTTAGGGTGGAAGAGAAAGGTAAGAACTATGTACAGGACGCGTATTTATCCAGACTGGTAGGAGATAACAGCCAGTCAGATGACACGGATGATACTTTATGCGAACTGGTAACCAATGGCTGTTCCGATTTGGAAGCGTACATCTCATTATACGAAAAGCTATTAGATGTTGAGTCCCAGCTTACAACAAAGCGAGGAACCATTTCGAAGTTGACAGAAACGATTGAACGAGCTCGCTTACTACACATGGAGAATCCAACAGCAATAGAAAATGACAAGACACAGATTCTGGCGATGACGAAAGATAAGTTGACAAATCCCGAAGAAGCTCCCTTGAAAACTGACGACGAGAAATATCTGGCAGACCACCAGCGGGAAGTTGGTCTGGTACGAGCTCAGCTGGAATGGTACACAGATGTTTGTATTGCGCAGAAATCTGAAATCACGACCATGCAAAACAGGCTAGCCTCTGCCGAGAGTCTGTATAACGATAAGTGCCACTGGCTGGATATCTTAGTGACGGAGTTGACACGTTTAGAACGAAACTCGCTATTGGACTCGCCAGATGCTGTCGATACCGAAATTGGTGCCGAGCCGAATAGTCAAACTCATTCGGCTTCAACCGAAGAATGCGACACCAATGATAGAGGAGAATTGAAACCAGACGATGGACACGACAGTGGTATATGTTTGAGTCCAGACGAAACCCCAAAGCTTCAAACTCGAACAGGAATTGATAACGATTCCAGTTCGGATACAGGTCTAAGCTCGTTGCACAGCCAGGAGGATGTAGAACACTTGCCGGTTGTAGCTGAAACTCTGGTTTAGCTGCACAACAAATCACTGTTGAAAACGATTATTCCATGAAATAGTTCTCACGCTATAGCTTGATAATAATAAAAACGTGTAAGAAACAGGGTGTCCGCCCTTTCAGTTTTGTTGAAGCTCTTAAAATCTCTTCTGAAGTCAGAAAATGACGATCTACATAACTGTACAAAAGCAACTCTGACTTTAACATGTCCATTTAATAACAGTTAAAATCCTTGATGATTGTTAATTTTTTAAGTTAACACCTTTTAGAACTCTGAATGTAGTTATAAAGTCTGCACAACGTAGGGTGATGAAGTGTGACGTCATTGTCATGACGAGAGGTTTAAGTTGTAACTTGCGTCGCACGCTATGAAATCAAAGCGTGCGCGTTTCTGTTGTAGGAAAATAGTTGACAGCAGGTATGAGATTTAGATAAGCTGTGAAAGAGAAAAAAGCAGTGCTAATAAAAACGTTCCTAATACTGGAGCAAGTGTCACTCCAAGCAATAATTATTTCTATTGTACCTTTTAAAATATCCAAAACCTACGTTCTAGGACAGACTCTTGAAAAATCTGGTCAGTTCCACTCGAAGTGACTAAAGCGATAGAGACAATTGTTGGCAAAATCAAAAGTGACAGATTAACCCTTTTTATAGACGTTCGTAGTGCAGCTCCGTTAAGCCGTAAAAAATCGGGTTTCGTGTCCATTGTAGCGAATCTGCTACAATACGTTTTGCTCATTCACTCAATATGTGCGTTCAGTGAAGTTAGTACGTTTGTATTACGCACGATGTAAGCGCAAATTGGAATGTAATTATGGTTTAGAACTAAGGCGGCAGCTTGAGTTAATCATTGGAGAAATTTTCATTTTGTGGCTTTACTTCAATGAATCTATTCTTTTCTTGACGGGAAGCTCAAAGTGTATGGTGAGCTAAAAGATTGCAATATATTTTCAACATTTCTCCGGTGTTGTTTTGTTTGGGCTTGTGTGATGCAGCGTTATAGTATCTTTGACAAACTGAATTACTTGATTCAGAACTACATGTGTTTTTATTGTAGTTATTTGATGTAATTTTGAACTGAAGAAAGTTCTGGTCAGGATGGTAATATTGCACTAAGTAGATGCTTGTTACTAAACAACCATGAAACACAAGCCATGCTGTCAGGACTAGGGAAAGAAGCTGACTTCAGAGTTCTCAGTGTAAAATGGTTGACTGCATTAATCAATGCAATCACCTGCAGAATTTTACCAGATCTGACCACACTGCCACTTTTAGCAACAGATACGTCCTTAGCATCTAGTAGGTAGTATGTTTTAGCAAGTAGATATAAGCTGAAATGAAGGATTTTTCTTCTTGGGAAATGCATCATTTTATCACTTTAGAGTATTCACGATAATTATGGCGAATTTACCCCTTCTTCAACAACTACCGCAGCTTGTAATGTTATTTTGAATAGCAACTCCTGACTGAAAAAGGTGTGTGTGATTTGTGCCGACCTGTACAAAGTTTCGTTGCTACTGAAATACATCAGCAGAGCCAGAAAGCCTTGAACTCTGCCAGTCCCTTGTTGCTGTTTTTATGCGTGTAACATGTTCTTGTCAAATTCTACAGAAACACAATAGGCCCAGGGCAAGCCCAAACACTTCCAAGTTGTTAGTGTCGCGGACTGCACGGTGTTCCACATTCCTTCCACAGCATGGGTGCCAATCCTGCCGTGTGGAGATGAATGCCGCTCTGTTTGGACTACAAACAAGACCTTGGCCTTCAGGACAGCGACGTGATGAGAACAGGGTCGACCTTTGCGAAGACGCCGAGCGGAAGTTAAAATCACTTCAAGGTTCACATTGGGGATGCATAAGCTTAGTCGCCAACAACATATAATGCCAGGCAAATGGAAGGCTAAATGCCATCCCCCACCCGGTTTATACCATGGCAATATTTTGAGCGGTAACTTTTGGCTGATAAGAAAAATTGCCTGTACTCAGAGCACGGCACGGATCATAACTTTTGTTCGCCTTCTTTAATGAAATGCAGGGTAGCGTTCACGGGAGGTTTGACATGGTGAGTTGGTTGGAATTCGAAAGAAAGGAAGGAGGGCATGCATCCTCGTATAGAAGACCTATAAGAACCCATTTGACCAAATTTAGAATTCTACAAACATACAAATGAAAACCGGCAGATATCCAAACTACAGTGCAACTGAAAAAGCATCTTTTTGATTGGAATCAATCTCTTTTAGAAGAGGTGTGGTTCTTAGAAGAACCGTTGAGTGTTAACTCGACGTTTCGGCCTGGATGCTTTGGCCGTCGTAAGGAGAGTGTGTCGGACTGGAGTGGAGAGCTGAGTTATAAAGGTTATATTATGGTGCTCTTGGGGCCTGGTAGGGCGCTCATGCCAGTTTCCCAGTTCTTCACTCGAGTCTGGCACATTCTCCTGAGGACGGCTAGAGCATCCTGGCCGAAATGTCGAGTTAACACACACCAGTTCTTCGAAGAACCGCACCTCTTCCAAAAGAGATTGATTCCATGGTGTACCCGCAAACCTATGTCTCATGTAACTTCCACCATGCAAAGTTAGAGATCTTAGTTAGGCATCTTTTGGTTCATTCTTCATTTTTCACGCGTTAAGTGCCCATAAATTTATAACTATATGTACTTATTCCTGTAAAATACAAGCCCCCAACGGCCATTCTTGAATTAACATTGATGCAGAGCTATAAAAAGGCCAGGCCCTAACATTCAAAGCTTCTAAATCATACTAGTACTTGAGAATTGGTAATAAAAATACTACTTTTGCATTTTGAAAAAAATAAACGAACAAAACAAAACAAGAAAACAGGCCAACCCTACTAAAAAAAATGTGCGGATTCAGAAGGGGAAGGAAGTCAACTCCTCTGCTCTAATACTAAACAATAATCAACATTTAATATTAAACAATAAATAACAATTATAGTAATTATACGTGTAATAAAGAGGTAATAGCATGAGGGGGATATTGATTGTATATCATTATCAATGTTATGCATGACTAGACTCGTGTCCAGCTGCCTGCAACTATATATCAGACGTAAAAATCAGACAGGCCTGAACCCCCTTGGAAAAAATTCCTGGATCCGCCCCCTGTCCCCTGTTTGGGAATTTCCTGGAATTAGACATTCATCAAAAATACTTCAATGCCCAAAGCTGATTAGTTCGCTTCTAAATAATTCAAGGTCAGTATAGAGTTGACAGAGCGTGTATTTTTGATAGAGGGAAATCTCCACAACCTCTTAAGAAAACCCTCAACTTTGTGGCGAACCATAAAAATATCATCAACCCTTGATTTTAATTAAGACTTTGGCAAATATATTTGTCAAGGATTACCTACACAATGCAATAATGCAGGGAAAAGCAGTAAAGCATGGTCTTTCCTCTATGGAAATGAAGTAAGCTTAGAAAACCAGCAAATCAGCAACCATTTAAGTGTCAGTTCATGAGACGACCATGCAAAATCTTAAAAATTTGACAAGGTGGGGGTCAGCACTTTGAGTTCAAATCTTGGCTATTCGATCCCCACCCAGCACAATATCACCAGATGGAGTAACTCGATCTGTAATACTACAGTGGCCGAGTGCGGGGCATCGGTAATTTTCAGCAAAAAGGGTACTGTTCTGGGACTCCGAGTTATTTTAAGGCATATTTAGCGTGTATTTACAGCCACATTTGTACCCTTAAATTTTATCGCTTATTGTCAAATTATACGTCAAAAGAAAGAGCTGATTCTCCTCTATACGATGAAATAAAAATCGTTGATGTGCAATAATTGCAGATATCTAAGGCATTAGAAAAACGTGTCAGCTCTGTGGAGAAAGAGTCATTTACTTGTCAGGCCATAACTGAATTAGTGCAGGGCTGATGGTAACAAAACTTGGCTAAAATATGGTTTAGGTATACATCTACAATTATAAAAAATAAAATCTTTGTCAGCTCTTCCCTCTTTTGTTTTCGAATGGTCAACAAAAAGGAAAAAAAATCTTCAATTTGAGATCACCCTAATTTAGACAGTTCTGAAGGCAGTTGCTTCCTTTTAATTCACATTTTTTAGTAGATTGTTGTTATGACCTGGCAAAAACCTACTTTTTGCAGACCTCACATAAAACCTTTGGTGTAAATACATGTATATCAATAGGTGTTGGAGTGTACTGTCAGGTTGCCGCCCACTCAGGTTGCACTGCAGACACAATCACCCGTGAACAGTATCAAAAGAGGGCGCTATCACATAGCTGGTCAGTGCGGCTTGTAGGCATGCAATGCGATGAGCACTGCATGCAAATCTATCGAATGCAGTGTTAGGTAGGTTTGTCGCTGCTACTAGTCATATCCTCAGGAAGCCTACAGTGCGTCTTCGTCAGTGTACATAGAATATACGATGCCATCTGCAAATGCGGAAAGTCTCCGTATCTGATGTGAGCGTTGAGTGGAAATGTCGTCATCCACTCCATGAAAGGAAAGGCGGAATATTCCGTCATGTTTGTGGTGTAAACAAAACAACCAGTCAAGAGGTGTCTGCAAGATGGAGCATGTTGATCCATTGATCCCAAGTCACTGAGGTAAGATAATATGCCTGATTTATGATACACGCCTAGTAACGTGCAATTGAGCAAATGTTTCCTATAGACTATATTTGTATGCTCAACTGATCAAGGGTATGAGTTCCATATCCACACCTCATTAATTTTCCCTCGTGGTTTACTAGCCATCAGAAGTGATAACGTCCTGAAAGTCAAATTTAGTAAGGACAATATTAAAGCATTTACTTCAAAAACATTTAAATTTTTCAGGCAAGTGCCCTAGGCTTGTGTGCAGGATTACCGTGTATGGCACTTTTTCCTGATCAGGCCTGCAAAGGAAGATACTATGACCTTGTAGTCGTCAGGTCCCCAATGTCGCCACATATCAAGTCTGATTGTTTTTCACAGTTAATGGCAAGTGCCTCCCATTCCTGAAGTACTGGTAACTACAGTGAACTAAATCCTGACATTTTGCATCTCATGTTATTATAGATAGATGATAAACTGTATGCAAACCTCTTATTTGTTTACCGAGGTGTGGGGGGCTGTAGGTGGGGCAATCCATTTTATCATTTTTGAAATCTCACTTAGGGCAAGGGGAGGGTTTTGCAATTGCAGACTGGGTCTCCATTAAAACTAGCACAGGCAACCACTGCTCAGTGATTATAATGAAGTGTCAGAGGCAAACTTTTGATATTTCAGGGGAATGGAGGAAGAAATTTTCCAAGATAATTTTTTTTCAACCGTAAATTTATCCAGCCCAGCGACCCATATTTTATTCAACAGAGGCAGCCCACCCTGCAATGTTCTCCACACCAATGCCCAGTTGCCAGTCTACCCTCAGGGTAGTGAGTGGGTGTGGTCCACTGCCCCCTCTGGTTATGTTACAGCCTTCTGTGTGTTGCATTATCTCACAGGATTTATCTATTTTCTCATTTTCCAACTTACATTCTCAGTCTTCACCAACTGCCAAAAAATGTTACACAGGATTTAGGAGCCCTGGATTCTTCTTGGGCTCCCACTCCATAACAAAGAATTTAGAGCTCAAGTCCCTGAGCACCTTCCTTATCAAGGATGGATAGGCACCTGTTGATGGACGGTTATGTTCAGGCCTTGCTCTCTTACACAAATCAGGTACACTGCCATCCAAGGACTGGGCTTTGCTGGAAAGGATAATGCTGTGGAATCGGTTGAGAGACAGGTTCTCAAGCATACTGTACAGAAGCAGCATAAGCTATGAGGAAATATGGCTCGATGCCGACTTGATTGCTTTGATTTATGCATATTGATGTGTCATTCCCAAAATAATCATTCCCAACCTGTTTCCCAAATAAGGCCTGGTCGTGTCGTGGTGGAAAAGGTTTTATCTGAATGGACTTATTGAAGTTTAAGGTTTTCCATTTTTGTGGTTTTAAAAAATTGGGCTTTTAGTGTTTCGTTTCATTAGTCGTCCATCACTATTTTCACACTTCAAAGTGATCCACGGTAAAAATTGCACCTGTGGAAGGCTTTGGTAGTTATGGGCAATGAGATTGTGGAATTTTCTTAGTAATGGTTGAGAAGCCTTCCGCCCTTTCTTTTTACTTACATGTAATTATCTTCTCTTTTCTAAGTTTATGCTGTTGTTTGGACCAATGCGCAAAAAGTGCATTAACCTTACACTCACGATGCTGCACTTCAAGGAAGGAAGAAAGGAAAGGAATGACAGAAAACTAAACGAACTACAGGCGTTCCTTTCATTTTGAGTGGAAGAACATTGACTGACGTCAGACTGTCCATGCGTTACATCAGTTTTGTGCATTGATTGATTGTGATTGATGGGTCAATAAGCCTCAAGCTGCACCAAGGCGCTTTTTTCTTTGCATTTTTCTTTGAAGGCTCCTTCTGTCGAACTAAATTTCGCTTGTTCACCGACTATGATGCACGCATTACGGTCGCATCACTACAAATAAAAAATGAGCACTCCCGATCAACATGGCTCTTCTCAACCGATGAGGGGGTGCTTTTACTCGAGGCGGATAGCCAACACTACAAATGAATAAATTATACATGTACACACAGCAGTATATATTGTCCGAATACATACATGAACACAAACACAATGGTACTGTCGAATTTTATGGCACAAATATTTAAACCGATGAGATTCCTAAAAACTGGATAGAAGTGTTGTACTGAAAATAATTTACGGTCATATTTTCACAAGTACTTTAAAAAAAACTTCTTCCATGTATTTCTTCAGAAAAGTGCATGTATGCTTACTCCAGAAAGGCTGAGAATACTATTTCGAGAACACTAGGCAAGCAAGCATGAATATTAACGCAGGTAATCATAAAAAACAAGCACATAATTGCAACAAATACATGTAATAATGGAGTTTTATGTGAACAATAAATTATTATTTTACAGCTATGCTGAAAAACATCTACGGAAAGTTCATTAAAATATTGTTCAGTAATTATGTCCGTGCATTGGGGTTTGACAAAACTGAAAAATACACTGTGTCCAAACTTATTATGCAAATATGTGTCCAAGCTTATTATGCAAGTATGTGTTTTGTTGAAGTAAACACAACGTGTTCCATAATGCCCCAACTGCTCTCCATGCCTCAGTGGACATGTGAGAACTGCAATAGGAGAAGCATTGTCTGTAACTCATGAGATACAAGTCCAAATGTGAGTTATTTTCAGAAAACACTGTCCAGAGTTATTATGCAACAGTCCACTGTACAGTGAAGATGGGTTAAAAAGGTGATCTCTAGCCTGCTGAAAAACAAGAAATTGTGCAGTTGCTTTCACAGGGCCAATCTACATTGGATATTGTGCCTTTCCAGAGATCACCGTACTGTGAAAAAAATTGTGACAAACAGCGAAATTAGTCAAAAAAGCGACTTCAATCAAAATATCAAAAAATTAATGCCCGGCACCTTCAACAGATTCGCCGTCATGTTACCAGAAATCCTCTAGCAACCAGCAGAGAGGTATTCGAAGTATCCAGAACCACACGCTGTAAGGCCTTCAGTGAGGTTGCCAAGGTTCGAAAGGCTCAAAGACGACCACCTCTCAACAAAAACCACAAAGCCAAACGCATTTCCTGGGCTGAAAAATATATGAAAATTGACTTTTCAGGCGTTATTTTCACGGACGAGTGCATAGCAGCACTGGATGGACCGGATGGATGAGCCAGAGGATGGATAACTCAGGGGCAGTCTGCACCAGTGCAACTACGTCGACAACAAGGTGGGGGTAGAGTCATGTTTTGGGCTGATATCGTTGGAGATCAGATGATTAGACCATTTCGTGTTAAGGACGGTGTTAAACTGAACTCTGAAGGATATTGTGATCTTTTGGATGCCAACTTTGTGCCATGGTGGAAGCAGCATCCGGCCAGACAACGCAAGCTGCTGATTTTCATGCACGATAACGCACCTTCGCACGCATCCCATTACATAAAAGCCTGGATGGAGCGCAACAGATTCAAGCAGGAACAGATCATGGAGTGGCCTGCTTGTTCACCGGATTTAAATCTGATTGAGAACCTCTGGTCGGTGTTGAAGCATACAATTTATGCTAATGGCGCAATACAACTCCAAGGATGCACTGTGGGATGCGATTAAGGAAGCAGCAGCACATGTTTCGAAGGAAACAATAAAACAATTTGACAAAATCAGTGGACAGCAGACTGTTGAAAGTCATCAGCAAACAGGGTGGCTATATTGACATGTGACGTTTATTAGCATAAAATAGGATGCTCAGTGCAACTGTTTATTTTTTTGTTTGTTTAGTTTTGTTTTTGATATTTTGATATATTTTTCTGAAGGTGCAATCAAAATGATTTCTGCTTAATAATGACCTATAATCTGGAGAAAATAATAAAATATGACTACACTGCACACTTGTTGTTACTATGTTGCAAAGTATCTCTGGACAGTAGAAAACAAACGCTATGAAGAGATGACAATATAGTGATCTGGAGAAACTAATTGTTTGTACTGAATTTCATTTGCAAACGAACATATAAAAAATAATATTTGAAACCAATAACTTTACCAAAAGTGGTGTTTCGCAATGGAATTTTAATTTTAACACTGAACTTTGCATTTGCATAATAAGTTTGGACACAGTGTAAATCACCACGACATTTATACCATCAACACTTCGTACCGTATTCCCACTCCATAAACCCACTTCCAATTTTGTTTCAAAAATTCCTAAAGAATTCTAAGGCATATGTATACGGAACATTATTATGGTGTATACTGTGACAACCAAGTGCGTACGTAGTTGTGTTAGGATTCTTACGTCGTGGGTGTCAACACTGTCTCAAAGGAGGCGCCGGCTTTGTATTTCCCAAATGTTTCAGTAGAGGGAAGTTTTACTACAGGTTTTCCCGCCCAACTTTTTAAAATTGGCGCTCCAATTAACGTCAGGCTCATTCAATTTAGCGCGAAATTGATTGACGATCCAGATCAACATTCAGTCAGCCAAAATAATCATTCAATTTAACTCCATGAGCACGCGATTGCAAATTCCTGTGAAACAGCAAAGTCGCTATTCAGTTAAGAAAACCCCAAGAACAGAAGTCAAATTCGCACGGTTACTCTGTGGTACTCGTAATAGGCATGCGATTTCGTGAAAAGCCAAGCATTTCTGACATCCGTGAAATGTTTTTCATCGAAGTCTAATTTACAAATTTGAAATGTTTTATGTTTGACTAATTTATTCAAATTCCATCATGAAGAAGAGGGGTTTCACTCGCAGAAAAAATCTGTCTCAGTACACTAATATCACCTTGATGGGAGAACCTCTTGTCTATAATGTACGTATTTATTTCTGCTTAAAACCAGAAAAAGAAATGATCAAATTCTTCTTATCTGGTTAAATAATTGTTAAAGCAATGACCAAATACTCAATCTTTTCAGCAGTAATCTTGTAATTTGTATTTTTCCTGCTTGAAGATTTATAAAAAGAAAGAACAAAATTGGTTTCATGTAATCCAAAATTTTTTACTTCAAAAAAACAACTCGATATTATCCCCATAAGCATTTAACAGAACAAAAGTATACCAGTATAAGTTAAATGAAAAAGTTGTGGGTAATAAAGAGCCAGGGCAAATATCGCCAGCAATCAAGATGTCTCTGGAACTGTACACGTATCATAATTATACAAAAACTCTATCTTTTCTCTAATACTTAAGGTTCGTATACTTTGAAAAGCTAACATTGCAAATATAAGTGCCCATTGACGGATATGAAAGTAAGTTTCACCCAGGGCAAAATTGAGTGACGCTTGTGCATTGTGAAATTGAATAATACTGTTACTAAACTGAATCCTTGAAAGTGCATGGTTGGACGTCCACAAACGAAACTGAATGCGCAAAGTTTCGAAGATCAAGCATGGGAGTAACGGGCTTCCAGAAATCGCTCGAAGGTCAATGCACTTTCATGAATTTGGAAGCTGTTTCAACAAATTCGGCCGGGAAAACCTATAATAGAATGCCACATGCTTTTTACTGCATACGTTGTAGATTTCCCCCTAAAATGTCAACAGCATATCACGCCGCTTACAGAATTAGCTGATGGGGGAATTTGGAATGGGTCTCTTGGAACACTTGCAACATCCATTTGGTTCGTGATGCTGGATCGTGTACACGTATTATTCCACTGGTCATTTGACAATGAAAGTCCCTTCGGAAGTGATTGTTCCAGTAGGAATTGAAACATTTTTTCTTTACCATGCCTCGGAAACGAGGAAAAACCAGCTCATGACGATTTCTGTTTCTTATTAAGCCCTTAATATACATGCACGTATATTAACATACCGACATTCCATACCTTCTACCTCCAGCTCCATTTCTACCCTATAATTCCATTTCTATTTCAGTGGAATTCTGGTTCCATTTCAATCGATTTTACATTTCAGAATCTTGTGTGTTGAAGTGTAATCATCTAACAGCAAAGGCCCTTTTACCGACTGCAGCAGAATAAATATCCTAGCGTATTCACTCCAGATGCGTGTGTGCACGACATTTCCTTCAAAGTGGACAATCTGGCCCCCCCCCTCAAAAAAAACCTAGGCCCGCGCCATATTTTCTATTTGGTGAGTTGGGGACCAGGGGCAAAAATGATATCCCCGATGAAAACTGCATTACTGAAAGGATGCGTTGAGCCTAATCTGTGTTCATATCTAATAAGTTTCAAGTTCCCGACAGTGCTTGAACGTCTCCTCCCCCCCCCCAATAAAAAATACAAAAAAAATTCAATGACAGAGCCGTGAACAAAATATTGAAAAGCCAATCGAGGGCCCGCAAACTTGCATACAGCGCAATCAAGCAACCTGACTCAAAAGCAATGGGAAAAACGCTGAAACCCTGCTACCGTTGTGGCAAAAATAACCACCATCCTGACATGTGCAGATTTAAAACTAACACTTGTTTCAACTGCCAGAAACGTGGACATATCGCGAGTGTTTGTAGAGGTGGTAAAAATGGGAAAATGCCACATCAAGTAAAGCCAATGAGTGCCGCAAGAAACATGAGTGACACTAACAGTGATGGGAAAGAGTCCAATTTTGACGGCAACAGTCCAGTGTACACTCTCTTTGAGTGTTCCAGCAGTCGTTCGGTCATGAAGGCCATCAAAGTCACCATGTCTGTCGACAACAAGGATCTGGTCATGAAGGTCGACACCGGTGCAGCGCTCTCGCTGGTGTCGGAAAAGACTTTCACATCGCTTTGGCCAAACACGACACTGCTGAAAACGGAAGTGAGACTCCGCACTTATACTGGTGAACAGGTTTCGGTCCTCGGAAACTTCAATGTTGAAGTCGAGTATAACGCAAAGACGTACGGTACGACCTCCCACTGCTCGTCGTCAAAGGTGACAGACCAAGCTTACTTGGAACCGGCTTTGCGAAATTAAACTGGACTGGCAGCAAATCAATGTCCTCTATGGAACCACCAGTGTCAATAAATTACTCAAAGCTGCCGTTCAACGTTGTTCAAGGATGAGCTTGGTACTTTGAAAGGCACCACAGCCAAACTCTTTGTCGACAAAGATGTACAGCCGCGCTTCCGTAAAGCACGAGTTGTTCCTACGCTATGCGGAAATTGGTGGAAAAAGAACTGGATTGCCTTCAGGCTGCAGGAATCGTCGAACCGGTTGAGTTCTTGGAATGGGCAGCGCCCATCGTCCCAGTCCTAGCCTCAAGCCAGACAGGTCTTCCGTGAGAATCGCTGTCGACTGTGTTGGCTCGCTTGGAACAAGCTGGCCTTCGTCTGAGGCTGAGTAAATGCAAATTCATGGCCGCTTCTATCGTGTACTGTACCTGGACCATACAATCGACGCACAAGGTCTGCACCCGACTTCTGATAAAGTAAATGCTATCTGCAATGCACCAGCACCAACAAATGTGACTGAACTGAGAGCATACCTAGGGCTGCTTACCTAGTAAGTTCTTGCCTCAACTATCGACAACCCTTGTTGCTTTGTGTCGACTTTTGCGCAGGACACAAGATGGAGATGGGGTGCCGCGGAAAGGAAAGCCTTCAGTGCTTCCAAAGATCTCCTGCTATCATCAAGTCTATTGGTGCACTTCGACCCAAAGAAAGATGTTATTGTATCATGTGATGCATCGCAATATGAAACGGTGCAGTCCTTGCCCACAGAATGCCGGATGGTTCGGAAACCCAGTCGGTTTTACCTCGCGTGCAATGTCTCCGGCAGAAAAGAAATATTCGCAAACTAAAAAGGAGGGCCTCGCCTGCGTGTTTGGTGTAATTAAGTTTCACAGTTGCATCTATGATCGTCATTTCACGTTAGTGACCGACCATAAGCCTCTCCTGAGCCTTTTCAATGAAGGAAGAGCGGAACCACCTCAAGTCTCTGCTTGCATTCAGCGCTGGGCTCTGACCTTGGCCATGTACGAGAACACGCTGGTCTTTAAATCAACAACAGCCCACGGAAATGCTGACGCACTGAGTCGCTTACCCTTGCCTACCGCTCCTGCCAAAGTCCGAGTTCCCGCTGAGACTGTTCTGCTAATGGAGATCATTGACGCATCTCCTCTCTCCACATCCCACATTCGCACTTGGACTAGACGCGATCCCCTGCTGTCCAAGATACTCCGCGTGGTGAGGGAAGGATGGCCTTCACATGATAGGGTGGAAGAGGATATGAAACCGTACAGAGTTCGTAGTACAGAACTTTCTGTTCAAGATAGTTGCCTCATTTGGGTCAATCAAGTGATCGTCCCTCCACAAGGGCGAAATAGCCTTCACGAAGGTCACCCCGGCATATCACGGATGAAAGGCCTCACCAGAGGGTTCGCTTGGTGGCCTAAGATGGATGCAGATATAGAAAGTGGAGGTTAAAGGATGCCACAACTGCCAGTAAGATAAACCGATGCCTCCGAAGAGCGAACTGGATTCCCTGGAAATGGTCTGTCTGCCCCTGGTCCAGATTGCATATTGACTGTGCAGGCCCCTTCACGGGTAAGATGTTCCGTGCCGTGGTGGATTCGCATTCCATGTGGATTGAGGTTTTCTGATAAACCACGCCACCACTCATGCAACAATCGAAAAACTGAGACAGGCATTCGCGACCCATGGATTGCCGGATAAAGTGGCACCCGACAACGGAACAGCATTTACTAGCGCGGAATTCCGCGAATTCATGACAAAGAATTATATCCTGCACATTCGCACATCTCCCTATCACCCAGCCTCTAACAGACTGGCCTCTAACGGACTGGCCGAACGTACTGTGCGCACCTTCAAGCGTGCCGTGAAGCGAATGGAGACAGGAACAGGAGAAACCAAGGTGTCCAGATTCTTGCTTCGGTACAGGATCACTCCGCACAGTGCTACAGGAGTATTTCCCGCGGAAATGTTAATGGGTCGTCGACTACGTTCTCTTCTCGACCATCTTCGATCCGATGTCACAAAGCGAGTCATTCACCATCAAGAAACCCACAAAAGGCATCATGACAAGAGCGCGAGGACAAGCGTTTTCCAGACGGTGACACCGTGCTCGTTCGTAACTTTACGAAGACCGGTTACCAATGTTTACCTGGCACCATCACAGGTACCTCGGGTCCGGTGTCCTACCAAATCCGACTCGACCATAACAAATGTGAAATCTGTCGTCACGTGGACCACATCAGCAATCAAGAACGTCTGGTCAAACCGGCTCGCGCCTATCCAAATTCGGACAGTGACATTGACTTAGGAACGGGTACTACCGTTCCAATCCCCAAACGACAACCTGAGACTGGAGTCAATCCTCAAACGCCCGACAAGCCTGCAACTCTCAATAATCCTCCAGCACCACAAGTCTCAACCGAGCCTCCGTCACCATCAGATCCACACCCGAGAGAAAATACCCTATGCGTATCAGAAACCGCCTGATTGTTATGGCTACAAATAAATAGCCAACCTAGCAGCTGCTAGGAGGCGGGATAATCCTCTGTGCAGTCTGTTCCAAGTCTGGGTAGTCTACCCCTGCACTTGACTGTCAGCACACGTGTATATAAGTAGCGTTAGTTTAAAAAAGTAGTGGCTAGTTAATTAAAGGAAAAAAAGTTGGATTCAATTCAATTCATTCTTGACGCATGTTGAAAAACATATACATGTACATTCAGTTAACATGTCACTTGGACATTTCACTATAGGGAGGAGGAGTGTATTATCCCGACTACCGAAGGACCTAATGCCAAGTTTATGAAAAGCAACTTTGTTCCCTAACCTCTTGAACTTCACCTTTTAAACCGGCTACTTCTAGGACTGTGGACACTATGGTCGTAAATATATTGTTTTACATGTACTTTCTTTCGGTGTGTCGCAAATGCTACTACGTATGCATTTTCTGTTAGTCTTGCACTCGGTTTCCAGAGCTTCCCATGCACATGGTTTCCAGAGCCTCACATGAAGAGAATTAAATCGGTGTTCGTCCAACTCAAATATTGCGTGTATTAAACTTGCTCAGTTCATTACACAGGGTTACAATTTTTAGACACCTCAATAGGACAAATTCACTCTGCAGCAAGGAGTTACTTGACAGCGTAAAATTTTCAGTGATCAAACCGGGCTCTAAAACAAAAAAAATATTTAGTAATAATTAAGTCTTGTGATCATTTGCATCAATGCTGACAGTTAAAATGTTTCTAATAAAATAATTGCACACACTGATATTTACATGTATAACGTGCAGAACTCCAGTTTTAAAAATACAATGGCTAAGATTTTAAACTGCACAAATATGTACACACACCGATTAAAAGTCATATTTTGTCCAGTTCCATCCTAGTAAGATTAGCTAGGTATAACCCCCAGTGAAAGGTGACCAGTAAAGCTTGAAGCATTTACACATAAGCATTTAACTGTTTAATACTGTGATGGTATGAAAACCTTGTAAAGAGATCTTTTTTGTATTTTCAGTCCTAAACTTTCAGCTACAATATCCATAGGCCTACACAATCGATTTTTCATTTACAAGGTGAATTCAGAATTCATATTTTGGTGGCCACCATCTTAGAAACTTCAGAGGTCTTTTCACACAGGACAAATCTTGGGGGGGCCAATGCAGGGTTGTTGCAGGGTTGAAAACATGGGGCTTCTCACACTTGAAATTTTTCCACCAATCACCAACCTCTTGTCAACCTGAGACTGATTTTTGCCCTGAGTTGAGAGTCAATCCTGCCCCTGATGACCACACTTGAGAACCGTTACACCCAGAATTGGAACAGGTTCAAAACTGTAGTGTGAATTGAACAGGGTTGAGTTTGCTGTGGGTTGGAGGATGTGAATATTGGGAGGCAACGTCATGGCACAGTGTGTACTGCATGTATGACACCTATTTATGTACTTGCTTATTAATGGCCAACACCCGAAATGTGTGTACATTTATGCAATGTGTTCATAGCACACCCAAGTGTTTCCCATTGTCACCCTCCATCGTTTTTACTCTTTGCATTTTACTCATTTATCAGAAATAGGCATGCTAATGAGGTGGAAATGAAAGCTTCTATCTTGGACTTTCCTGGCCACAGGAAAATTTTATGACTTCTTTGATTTTCAGTGTAAAACACTGTTTTCCCTGAGCAGGACACACCCCTTGCGCAGCAAGTGGAAGGACTCAGCTTAGTGCTTGTGCTACAGAGATCACTGGGGTCGTACCACTTCGTGTAGGAATGCCAACATTTCTTTGATGACTTGCTCCGGGTAGACATAATGAACCATGTGTGTTCCTTTCTCAAACTCAACAGCTCGCTTGAGGCTGCCCTCTATGAATAAGATCCATCAAAATAAAAGTTCACCATTGGGGTCAAAACATTATCACTATACACATGTACAATGTGACTTCATTTACTTCCTTCTAAATTCTAGGGCACTGCTTTGATCTAACATGTCTAATGGGAAAAATATAAACAAAGTCTGGCATGAGGCTTTGGTAACAGTCAAGTCAAGGTTATGCAAGAACAAAGCACCTGATGTCCTGCTGGTTCAAACATGTTTACTGCATGTGGGTAGGCATACGGTCACACAGACAATGCGAACTTTGCTTGTCCGTACTAATGATCTTCAATGACCTACAGTGCACTTGATTTTGAGCATGCACTGTTGGTATACAGAACCAGCTCATAACTGGAAAGATATTTTAATACAGCCTTGGCAAATACCTGAGGCTGTGTCCCAATCACATAGCTATGGCTAAGAGTAACACACACTCTTATGGAAGCCACTGGCTACAGCTGCTTCAGTCATTCCCCATAGGATTGTATGTTATCACCAGCCAGAGCAGTGGTCAGGTACATGATCATAGTTGAGCTTACCAAAATGAGTAAAACTGTTTTGCAGAGTTGCCAACCTCACTTGACCAAAAATCCTATGATGTTACCTTCAAAGCCCTATTAAAAAATCAGTTTCTTCACTATTGCATAATTCCCTACACAGAACGATGGAGGGAACACGATGCATAGTCTGGGCCCAAGACTGATTTTGCTTATTCATCCATAGTTTATGTATGGCGCACAGACAAACTGCACAAATAAAGCAGCAATGGACAATAGAGGGCCCCGTGGATGGACACCGCGTCATACATGTTGCACGCATTTGTATGGCATTTCCAACATCACTGACGACTGATGTTACTGTGCGAACTTAACTTGTGAAAAATGCCAATTTTCAAGCCAAACAATAAGTAAAAATCTAAAATAACTACAAAGTTTCTTTTGTATTTCTTTTGGTTAATATTTTATCAAGAAAAATCATAGTGTTGTATTGTCACTGAGAAATCATACGAAATACGATAAAATTGTACTGGTTGGCAGCTCTGGTTTTGTGACGGTTTCCTAATACCTCGGTCTTATTATGGGATGGGGAGTCACATGTATATTAACAGATGCCTGACCTTTGAACTTCTCCATGGTAACGCCCTCCTCGTTGTACTTGATAGTGTCCTCCGGGCGCATCCCTAGTCGTAGAATAGTATCTTCCAGGACAGGCATTTCTACAAACTTATCATTGCTGCTGTACACGCACAGCGCTGGTAGGTCCAACTGCACCAGTCTTTCCACATTAGTAGCAAACTGTATGTGGTAAAGCGTACACACTATGTAATGTTAATAAAATACATCCAATGATGACAATTTTGCCAAAGTAGGTTCACACTGTTCAGACACTTGGAAACAACCTCTTTCTTACTGTAAATGTAAAAAGCTTCACAGACCTCCATCATGGGGCAGCCATCTTGCTTTTCTTGTATTCAAAGTAATGTAACCAAACTGAGGCTGGAAGGAAAAATAGTCTGTTCTCTTAACACTTTCTGAAGTTTTACAACTTTTGCCAATGGGTCCGAAGGGAACAAGACAAACATGGCAGCCTCATGACAAAGGTCTATACAGACTGATCTCAGCTTCATGAGAGTATGTATGTATGAGATCTACAAAAAAATAGTCACAGAGGAATATAATCCTGCAATATCCTAAACTGAAAGAGGAAGATTTGCAGATCTGCCCCAATACCGCTAAATGCCATGAAATCCATCAGTGGCAAAAAGGTGAACATTCGATGGATTTTGCTGTAAAGCCAGGTGGCAGGTTACAATAGCAAAGTGCAAAGGTCAGTGTTTGTCCAACATGCCAGTGCTCTGTGTTGAAATTTGTTGCATTTCACTTAGCTTAAAATTTCGTAGCACTGCACAGGACACCATAAGAAAAGCCTGGAAAGGGGTCTCTCGTTAGAAATACATGTAGCACTGTGATTCAGAACTACATGTACAAGTAGAGCCATTTGCACTCAAAGATTAGTAGGAATGGCCTAACCAACTTGGGAAACGGTGATCAGCTCATACATGTACTGCCCTAGTTTGCATTTACAGTTCTTGTCAGACCAGTCTCTACATACATGTACATGTAATTGTACATGTTTACAGTTTGTTACATGCTTGATCTGAAAATCTTTCCCAATAGTGCACTTTCCACCATGCGGGTCTTCACACTGCCCGATCTATTAAGCCCCAACCCCATGGTCTTTTGTCCAATCACAGATGTGATTTACTTCTTACAGGTGTGCACTATTGCGTGCCCATATGATGTGTGTGGCTGCAACAGCTGTGGCACTGGAGAGAAGCATGGTTTATTACCCACC